CACACATGAAAGTGTGGCACCCCCTAACCTATGAAGGCATGTTCTCTTCTGGCCTCATTGTGTATATAGTCTACTAGTCCCAGCTTACCTGAGATATGAATACTTCTGTAAGTTCATAACCAATTTCCTTTGTGGACTTGCAAGTATACTATGTTCAAGTTCAGGTCTTGATATGTCTCCTGAAGCCCAAGTAGGCTACTAGAAGCCGCCACCAACTAAATAAGTGCCTACAACCTCAATGCTTGCTTGCATGCTACACATTCTCCACTCACTGCATTCTGTGCTCCCAAGAGTGCTGAAAGCCAGGCATCACAGGGAAGGAGGAATAAGATACCAGATACCTAGGAGGAGGAAGTCACACCCACAGCCAAAACCACAGCTAGGTAAGCACAGAAACAAGTGGGAAAGCACTTATATAAATTCTGCGAGGCCCAGGATCTAACCTCAGCACCACAGAAAAATCAAAAGAGCAAAAATTGGTTCTTGCTTATTTTTCATATTATATTCGTCACCCTCTTCTCTGCACACACATATACACACACTCACATCACTCACAAACACACGCACTCACACACACAAATACACACATGCTCACACATACACACACACTCACACACAATGTAGTTCAGGGTCATACAAACACACACACACACACACACACACTCATACCACTCTCAAACACATACACTCTCACACACACATACACACCTATGCATACACCTACGCACACACATACACACAAATACATACATAGACTCACACACAGTGTAGTTCAGGGTCTCTCTCTCTCACACACACACACATACACACACACACACACACACACACACACACACACACACACACACCATGTAGTCCAGGGTGACCTGTAACTTACTATTAATATGTAGCCCAGCAGGCTGGTCTTGAACTTACAATCATCCTGCTTTAGTCTCCCCAAATAAGAGCAAAGATGACAACTGTACACACCACTCTGGCTCCCTACATCTCTTGCAGGTAGAGAGACAGGTAGAAACTAAAGCTTAGTGAGAAAAGTCACCTTGAACAGGGTCACTCAGACCCGAAGAGAATGAGCAGAGATTCAAACCCAGTTGTGATAGCTGCTCCCCTGAACTACCCATCCAAACTCGGGCCTCCCAAGAGCTTGTGTAGTCTCACAAACTTCTCATGAAGCTGAGAATGAGATCGCCTACACATTTCATTCCACACCATATGGCAGCGTCCCAGCAGACAGGAAGCTCATCTCTCCAGCATGCTGGGCCCTTTTCACTGGATGTGAGATTGGTGGGGTGATCATTTCCCAATCTTTAGCACCATTGGATTCATTTTGATGTGTCCTTTCTAATTTTTCCAGAAACAAGAAAATACTCCTAAAGCTAGAGAATGGCAGATCTTATCAGCAGTTCTTCAGATGAAATATCACCGCTACCAAGAACAAGTGATAGCTTTGAAGTAACTGGAGACTATTGTGTGTCCTGTATTTTAGTCTAAGCAACTGTGGGATGCTGAAGTTCAATATGACACCCTTACAAAGGGTGATAAGGTTAAGCCAACATGTCTAGATATCCAACATCATTGTGAATCACTTTATTCTCTTTGCAAAGTAGGGTTATTCATGGTGACATGAATCAAAAAGCATGAATGAACTACTGGGGACAGCCAAATCTATGGCTACAATATTATCATATATAAAATACCACCATTTCATCTTCCTGCCAACTATATCAGAGCTTGTAACATACAATACCATTGAGCAAGAGAAGAGTCTGAGGTTTTGTGTCCCCAAACCCACTCTAACCTACCATTAGTCTGGAAAGGTCATTTCTATATGCAGAGACATATTTGTGACAGACGAGAAGCTCTCTGAACTGACATTCACTCGTGGGGACCACCAAGCTCGGTGTCCACGACTGGGGATTTGAGCTTGGGTCTGACTATAACGCCCCATTTTCTCCAGAAAGTTTCTATACCTTTCCGAGCCTTGGTTTCCTCATCTTAAGGTAGGATTAGCGAGAGAACTCAGCAAAGAACTGTGGTTTAAAGTGGCACACACCGTAACTAAAACAGCAGGCAGGAAAAATTTGCTCTCAGTCCTAGCGAACTCCCTCCACGCACAACTCAGCGTAATTCTGCCACCTGCAAAATCGGGGTGAGAAGATGCTGCTGAAATCACACAGAGAAAAGACAAGTAAGAGATGGAAGAAGCCAGACGTGTTTGTGTGTGACCGCAATCACAGCTCTTACTCTGAGAGGCTGAAGCAGGCCAAGTCAAGTTCAAGGTCACACAGTTCACTAATGCGCAGTTATGTGTGGTACCTGATTAGAGCAGGTAGCCCACAGGCTCTAAAAAAAAGTCATTCACTTAGGAGATATTAAAAAGAGTTCTATGTGGCCAGGCCTTTGGATCCAACTTGGGGACACATTTGCTACCGAGACCTGTCTCAACTGTGTGCCACTTCCTTTTTCATTGTTATTTTGCCCCAGCCTAGAGCCATAGCGGACACAGAATTGAAATAATGAAGCTATTTTGATAATCGTCCAGTGTCTGACATTTCCACTTTCAGCCCTCACCCACATTCCAAAGGGATCTTGGTCTCACTTATCACATATCTTGGAGCTGTGTAACTTTGGAACTTTTTTTTTTTTTTTTTACTTTTTTCCATCAATGAAAAAGCAGTGCTTGAAAGCCTATTCTGTAGGGAGCTCCCATTCTACAGATTTGAGCAGGAAGCCCCTGTAAGAGAAGGCAGCTGGATCGCTTTATATGTAAGTCACTGATGAGGGACTGGACTGGCCTACCTGTCTTCCTACCTGTGCACTCTGGGCCCTCACCTCCACTTGGCCCCTTAAGGATGGTCACTTCAATTTTCTGACTGCTGAGCTGATGACATGTTCAGACAAAGGGACAGGAACCTAACTGGTCTACAATGACTGACTAAGGTTGAGTAGTAATGGTGTGTGTGTGTGTGTGTGTGTGTGTGTGTGTAAAAAGTGTCTAAGATAGTCATGATGGAGAAACTCCCAGGGACAACTGACCCACACTTGCAGGAGCTCATGGGCTTAAACCAACAGCTGGGGATCCTGCATGGAACCCAACCAGGTCCTCTGCATGTGGGCGACAGTTTTGTGAGACCCCTGGCAGTGAGGGCATGATCTATACCTAGCACATGAGCTGGCTTTTTAAAGTCCATTCTCTATGGTGGGATGCCTTGCTCAGTCTTGACAGGGGAGGGGAGGGGAGGGGATGCTTGGTCCTGCCTCAACTGAATGTGCCAGGCTTTGTTGACTTCCTATGGGAGGCCTTACCCTCTCTGAAGAGTGGGTGGGGGTGGGTGGAGGACAGACAGGGGAAGGGAAAAGAGGGGACAAAGAGGGAACTGAGGTTGGTATGGAAAATGAATAAAAAGAAAAAAAGTATGTCCTACATGAATAATACTTCCTTATGTGAGCACACATTGAAACCCAGAGGTAATGGCTGAAACAGGAACCAAAATGAATTCAGGGTGTGAGAAAAGCTCACTGGGGAATTGGGGTTCATGCAGGTTAAACTGCCTCGCTTTAAAAGAACCTAGGAAACTGGCCTTGTTTACACTTCCCCATCCTATTTGTTTGCGCCTGTGCTCTTATAACAATATACGAGGGAGTGTGTGGCTTAAAACAACATCCTCCTCTGCCTCTTCCTCCTCCTCCTCCTCTTCCTCCTCCTCCTCCTCTTCCTCCTCCTCCACCTCCTTCTCCTCCTCCTCTTCCTCCTCTGCCTCTTCCTCCTCCTCCTCCTCCTCCTCCTCCTCCTCCTCCGCCTCCGCCTCCGTCTCCTCCTCCTCCTCCTCCTCCTCCGCCTCCGTCTCCTCCTCCTCCTCCTCCTCCTCCTTCAGTTTTGGAAGTTAGAAATTTAAGATTCATTATCAGTTGGGATGGTTTCTGAGGCAGGCTAGGTACAGACGGCCAAATTCTTGTGTTTTTATAAGTGAGGGAAGGAAAAGAACAAGGGACACACATGAAAAGTGAAGAAGGGAAGAGGGAGAAAGAGGAATGGAGGGGAGGGGAGGAGAATGTAGACTTTCAAATAATCAGTTTCTTCATTTCCTTAAAAGGGACTTCATGTTACTGATAAAAGCTCCCATCAACTTCAGGGATGGATTTCCCGATAACGGTGCAATCTCCAAGTATTGTCATACAAGAGGGTTAGAATTTTAATATGTGCATTGGGGGAAGGCACAAGCATTCAGCGGATGGTGCCATGTCATTCTCCCTTCGAAACATACATGGTAGCATCCAGTCAATTACGTGTTTAAACTTTCTCACCTAAGACTCGCAATCTCTCGGCTCCCACGACCACTTCATTGTCATCTGCAGAAAAGAGCAATTTTCCAGAAACCGTTTTTACTTCAAACTTTTTGCCATATGCTTCCACAGCCTTCGGACCTAAGAGGGCGAGAGAAAGAAAGAGAGGAGGGAATACATTAGCCTCGTCGAATTTGACTACAAAAGCTTTGCATAGGGCCTAGGCGCTCCCCGGGACTGTGTCTGATTTTAATGTTAAGTGAATTGGCTTTCTGAAGCCGGCTGTGGAAATCAGTGTCTTGACTGCTTCTCATCTTGTCAATTGCTTTTAATCACATGGTCCTGGCATGTGGGTTTAGAGGTCATCCTATTCTCCTCATTCTAATGCTTGGATGAGATTTCCCTCTACTAGCCTCAAATTAGCGTCAAACACTTGTGACTTTTGATCAAAAGTGTCAGACCCAGAGTATCATCATCTCTTGGGGAACTAACCATCTTCAGTTAGTTGTCAGTAGCAGAAAGTGTTCTCATAACTTGAGCTGAAATGGGTGTGTGTGTTTATACCCTTGACCCACTAACTGACACGGAGACAAATCTATTTCCTCAGTCCATAGATACTTTCCAAGCAGAAATGATTATATTATAATTAATTCCCCTACACGTTAAGTATCTTATATAGTATAAATTAGTTTAATAAGAAATAGGCTTTGAGTTCATTGTGTGGCATCGGATGCTGTTCTTGGACATGTATGAGTGCTCTATATGTATGCCTGCATGCCAGAAGAGGGCATCAGACAGAAGAGGGCATCAGATCCTATTATAGGTGGTTGTTGAGCTACCATGTAGTTGCTCACAACTGCATGTGGAACTGAACTTAGGTCCTCAGGTCCTCTGGAGTAACCAGTGTTCTTAACCACTGAGCCATCTCTCCAGTCCCCAGATTCAATTAAGAAAGCGAGCTGGTTAGCATATTTGATGTTCTGACAGGAGTTACCTGAGCCTGTCTAAGCTGAGACTTCCCTAGCACATACATTTCAGGGGCTCCCAAAAGCTGGTCTGTATGAAAGCATCTGAGTAGCAAGGTCATCTTTACTTGAATCCAGCTCTGATCAAATAGAGTCTATCTTTTGGTCTACCTTGTAGTCAGATTTGCAGGTAAAGTCAACACGCATTATATCTTCCTAAATAGGTCACTGGGATTCCGATGCAGATCTTGTTTGCTTTCTTCTAGGAAATTTTCATGTGACTATTATTTAAAATAAATAGCTACAAGAGAGCCAGAAGACTACACCTGAAGGGACCCAGGAATCTTCAGCCATTGCAGGGAAGAAGAAAGCACTTTTCACACAAACACAGGCATAGGGACAAAACCCTGCAAGGATTTACTCTGGGGTCTAGGCTCAGGTTGGTCTATTGTCAAGGGGGTGGGGCTTAAGCAAGCAAGGTTTAGGGGAAGTATTTTCAGGGTGTGAGAGTAATTTTGTGGTTGGCTATCCCAATAACTCTCATCTAGAAGTAGGGCCGAGCTGTGTAATACTAAAATGGTATTGGGTAAACAACAGTCTCTGATTTCACATTGGATGAGGATATGTGGGGTGTTGATGTCTGGAGAAGGCTGAGCCTTTTTGTCTATGTTCAGAAATGTTGAGAGAGAGAGAGAGACAGAGACAGAGACAGAGAGACAGAGAGACAGAGCGCTAGATTATGCATTTGTGTCTATGTGTTTGGCTTGTATGTATGTGTGTACTCCTCTCCTATGTATATGTATGTGTTTTGATAGCTCCGTGCATCTTGGTCTCTAAAGGACCCTACCTATAATGCTTTGTGAAATTACTTAAGCTTAGACTGCGATTTGGCTATTAGAACCAGAACAGCTCCTGTATATCTGGGATGATGCCATAAGTATGGGACTTAGAGACAAAAGCCCCCCCCCTCCAACTCTGCTCCGTTTGGCAATGCGGCTGCAGACAAGTGATTTTTTTCATCTTTCTATTCCTGTACATGCTGAACTGAACTTTCATCTCCTCCTCTGTGGGTCTCATGGAAAGGCTGCAAAGGTCAGATGACACTGAATTCATAAAATGAACTTTGGAGGCACAAAAATGCCATGCGTTGTGGCGATTGGTCCACTGGATGCTGTTGTCACCTTCATCATTGCCATCAGCATTCTTCTACTGAGATGTCTACGACATATTGAACATCACTCACGACGAGTGCCTCTTAGCCCGCTCATATCCTCCCATTCAATAGGCTTTCCAGGACATTCACACTGCCTCTCTAACTTGAAAAAGGTTCACAGAAAAGGTTCCTTAATGAGCCAGAGACTGAAGCAGCAGAGATCATACAGAATCCACAAGCACTGTGAGTCCTGGAGATGCTCTTGTCTGGTTGCACAGGGGGAAAAAAAAGGCGCTATGAGGCTACTGCTCCCTCAAGGTCACTGTCAGAGCAAAGGAGAATCTGAGAATGGGATCCAGCTCTCAGAACGCCAGACGGAGCCCAAAGTAGATCTTTTTGTTTAGGAAGGTGAAGAGTCAGCATGCCCAAGGCAGCAAGGAGATAAGATTTCAGAGGAAGAGGAAATGTAAAAATCAATGGCGAAGAACCCAAGGAAATCTGAAAGAATGACAATGTGTCAAGGATTTAGAGTAGGGACTCCTCTGTGAGTTACGATGGAGCTATCTTATTGATGCCATTGCCAAACTTGAAGTGAAATCTATACTGTTTGTTAATTCCAGAAAGATAACATTGCTTCGTGGGAATGAGACTGAAAACGGAAGAGACAAAATGCCAGTGAGAAATGAATGGACAACCTCAGGATGGCCATGGACAGGTAAGGGCAGTCTGCCCACTCCAGACCTAGTCATATGGAGATAAAGACAGTGGGAGACAAATGCTTGGCCTTGGCTTCCATGAGCTTGACAAGATTGTCAGGCATGGCTCCAAGGGGCCTGTGTATAGCTTGAGCTCACTGTGAACTCTGGAACGATGTGTGAGACTTACAGGGCGTGGGCAGAGTGAAGAGATCAGAACAATCACAGTGTACAAAACACAATTAAGTTATCTGACTTTTCAGGAAACCACAAAATATGAGATAGAATTTATCAAGGGCCAGAATCATTTGCCAACATAAAACATGGTAAAACACAGCTTTAGCCTAAGGTCCTCACAGTGACAGCTGGCTAGCTGGTGCAGACTGCTTTGACCTTTGTTGGTTTTACCTGGGATTGCCAAAATTTCATGGTTATGACTGGAGTCTTAAAAGATGACTCTAGAGCGAAGGTCTGGTAGCACTGGACACTGAGAAGCCCTCAGTGAAGCTAAAGCTGTTTGGGGGATAGAAAATCAGCATGACTTCCAACTTGAAGCCTCCTTCAGTTAATACCTTTCCATGGGTGCAAGTCTATGCGCGACTTAAGTTTCTTCTCCCTAACTGGAAGAAGAATGGTGTAGAACATTATTTTAAGGTGTGATATCTTTGTTTATGCTCTGGGACATTTGTTTAATGATGAAAAGTCATGATGCTTTGTTTAGGCTGCATTTGTTTAACTCTTTGAAGCTGTGATTCTTTGCCTGTCTAAAGCACCTCATGTTCCAAGAGAGAGAGAGAGAGAGAGAGAGAGAGAGAGAGAGAGAGAGAGAGAGA